GACCTGGCCCCAAATGTTGATATAAAATAAGTCATTTTATTAATATTACAGGTAAGTCCCGCCTTCCCATCTCTTAGCTATAGTTCAGAATCCACGATGTCGTCCACGTTAACCAATCGAGTCATGCCAAGGGCTGTCAATCATTGGCGCTGATGCTCGCAGCTGCGCGCATGCTCAGTTGTTTGTTTTTGCGGAGCCTCCAAATCAAGCCTCTATTAGGCTCTGGAACGAAATGAAAACTGAACAAAGAATTCTGAACATCCGCGCTGAGTTACTAATGTATATACTGAACCTATATCCATAATCAGATCCTCTGCAGATGTGTCCTATAATGTGCAATTCATGATAATAGCTTGTTCCAGGTTTGCCGCGATTGCTTTTTTTGTGCATAAAAACATTTATATTCATTAAAACGTTACCAAATAATTCTGAAAACCTCCGTGCATGTGTATTAATAATGTATATGTATAATGTGTTCTCTGATTAACATTTCAAAGTGTTACGGAAACGTAGGTGTAGACCAATCAGAAAGGAAGGGGGAGGGAGCTTGCGTCGTTTTTTTCAAATCAAGTACCTCTCTGTCTCTCTTTCTGACAAACTCCAGACAATCACTTTAAGCATCAACACTTGGGGACATCATTATCGTTCTCCCATGCTGGGTAGTAGTGATGTTTCCCTCCTCTTTCTATTGCATTTAATTGGGCACAGTTACAGTGACCATCAATCTCGGAAAATTTTAATATGGTTTAAAAGTCCAAATGACAGATTCATTACTAGGAAAGTGAAACATATCAAGCTTTCAATGTTAATCATTATGGCTCACTGTTTAACCATAACTAGCCATAATTGTCATCATTACAAACAAAGGCTTGGCATATCTAAGTTTGCATGTTGTCTATAGTATTTTGGTTTCTCATTTTAAGTTTCCCAATTTCACCTTTACATGTGAAAAACTCGGCAGCAGGCACCAGTGTGAACAAATGTGGACCAACCAATCACTCGTAAGCATGGTGTAGGAGGGGGATCTCTGGTAATTACTGATTTTCTACGTTTACAAAAACTGCATCATACATTAGTTGAAAACGTCACAGTGGCTGCATGTGTGACTGTTGGGAGTGAAGCCTGATTTAAGGACAGAAACAACATGGTTGTCCACATGATACATGGTCATACTTGCTTGTTAGCCTGATCAGATATGGGAAGAACAGCGCAGGGACTTGTGATGGGAGACCTTTGGGAATATGTCGTGCTAAACTATTATTGTGTGCTTGGGCAGGACAACCACATTGCCTAGTATAGGGTTGTCAAACGTATCTGGTATTGAAACTATGTTCTATTTTGTGTAAGTGTAGATACAATATTACATAGGACAGAATTATTATTTTGAAGTAAAAATGTGTTTTGTGTGTGCGTGTGTGTTTTAGATCTGTGTTTGTATTTTTGTTGTTGCAATCTATGTAGGATTGAAATAATAATACAACAACATTGATAATTAGAATTAGAATACACATAGTTCCAAGAAACCATCTGGCTGAATGTCATGCTCTAGATGCCTCAAACTTTCATTCAATAAACCAAAAAGAAGTATCTGTTTAGCACATATGCTCACAACAGGCACCGATCCAGAATGTACATTACTGCCTAAAATAGTACAGTTCCAGCAGCTATACAACAGCTCTTCTCTCCTCTGCACAGACTGAATCAGGACAGCCCTGTGAACCCACTCTGACAAATGGGATGATTGATACTTGTGCGGTGAAAGACTCTTTGAAACCTTGTCTCCACCATGTTTCCTTTTGCAGCATGTCTCGCACCACCAGCCTCTGGCTCTATCTCAATCCTGAAACCTTTCCAAATAGATAGTACGGGCCTATTAAAAATTCAAATGCGACTAATTAAAACTGGGTCGAAAGATTGTTTAAACGGCAACATAATCCAATTCTATTTTCTATATTATGATCATTTACGATTTTTAGTATAGCCTCCCCCGTGGCTCTTGAGATACCGGTGAAACACAGAAAATTAGAATAACATTTCAAAAGCCTCAAAAAAGGAAATGTTTAGGTCATGTGCTCTTTGAAAAAAAAATTATCTGTAATTGTAATGCAAAGATGTTGGAATGAGGGCATGATGAAGCGCACATGCTGTTCTACCTGCAGCATCATTTTCAGCTCTTGATGACTTCCCGGATTAACATTTTGACACCCATCCACCAGCCATGAATCCCCTTATGTAACATCCCAAGAGTGAAGGGAGCCTCGACAATCTTTTCTTAAGTACAAATCCATGGACGACAAACCCTACTTTTGCATAAACATTTTTATGCTTGGACGCTGTTGCTTTCAAGTGGCAGACTGGAGCGGATCCCAAAATCCTACACATTTTAACTTGTGATCTCTGTGAAGGGCACTGATGATAAAGGTTTCTCTCTTCTAACAAGTGGCATGCTCATTTGAACAAAATAAAAAAATTAATGTATTGCAAATTCCGAATCTAGAGCAAACACTTGGAGAGCACATACCCCACCAACACCAAAATGTGATGTCTCTAGGACGCTATCTGCCTGTAACTCATTCTACCACCACGGGGAGGGGCTGATTTTTTCCCCCTCAAAAACCAGCCATGCAGCTGTGAAAAACATTTGAGATATTTTTTTGCCAATACTTTAGTTTAAAAGGCTGAAAAAGGGGCTGAGCGTGATGTCATTGTGTTTAAATGATATCATACTATTACAGGATAGAGACGGGAGGTCTTAGACAGAGTTACATGTTTGAGCTCCTGATATTAGCATGGATGGATCAAAAAACAACTCTGACTATATCTCGACTTTCAGCTCAATCCCTCAAGCAGATTTTTCTCCTGCCAAACACACACACACAAACACACATACAATTACAATACAAATACTATTTCAATATTCATTGCATCATAAACGTATTGGATAAAACCGTATTTGTCCTCAAACCAAATGCAGAATAAATTATCAAGGGTCAGTTAACCAGCTGTTCCCATGGTAACCCATTTTTTAGTCTATATGCTTTATTCAAGTGCAATGCTCAAGCAAATGTTTTCATTGGGGAGGGGATGAGAGGAGCTCACAGGAGAAGAAAAGCCTGAGCAAATATTATGGAGTCTCTAGTCTATAAGGCCAGTATGTAGAATACACTGCAAACTTTTATTTTTTGGATTTTGGATCATAGAACCAGGACCAAATAAGTGCTGTGCTGCTTATTAGAAAACAAATCATCTGGCCCATACTTGTGAAAACGAGCTTGTAAGTCACTATTTCATGCTTTGGGCTGAGTCTTTCCCACTTTTTTTTTTCTGAAAAAGCAGATCTAAATATTTGACAGAGGCAAAATATGTATGCATGGGAAAACTAGCGATAGAACCAAAGTGTTTTGAGAGCGAGGATGTTTGAATTGTCCAGGGTCCAACAGTAAATACAAGGTGTCAGTATCAGTGGTGGCAGGTCCTACTATATATACCAGGGGTCTGCAACCTGCGGCTCCGGAGCTCCTCGAGTGGTTCCTGGAGCCTTTTCAAAATGTCTGAAAATGGAGTGGGAGGGCTATATTTTATTTCTAGTTTTAATCTGGTTTCTGTAGGAGAAAAAACATTCTTAACCTTCTTAAATGCTGTAAAAATGTGCACAAGTAATGTTCAATTTCAACATTTCTGTCAACGTGGTGCGTCATATCCTGTGACGCGCCAGGCGGCCACTGTTGTAAACAAACCGGCGTGTGTGCATGGATCCCAAAGCTAAAAAGAGAAGATAATAAGACTGGATAATAATAAATAATAATAAGAATGAACATTTGCTTTCAGTCAATGAGGAAGGCTTCATGTTTGTAATGAGAAGTTTTGTTGCAACACGAGGAACAATGAAGCGTAAAACACTGTTCAAGGTGATTACTTGAAGGACTCATTCATCAAAAATTCAGAGCACCTACTTTCAGACTTCAGAAACCTCTGCAAAGACGGTGAAAGAAAGAGCCATTAAGGACATTAATTCAGCTCCAGCAAACTTCAGCCTGTGCTGTGATCGATATGAACAGACAGTGATGTGATGCAGGTTTGTGAACTCTGAGCCCAAAGCAGATTTATTTACTGTATTTCCACAATTGCATGAAGGCAAAAAAAATGGAAGTTAAAGTTAAAGCAGAGTCGTCATTGGTGCGTCATTCTCTCCAGGACACGCTACAGTGAAAAAACACTTTTGATAATCATGAATGCTTATTATGTATTTGTATCCTTTACTTTGTCATTTAGATATTAGGCTAATATAGCTAATACAGCTTCAGCCTGTGGTACCTTCATATAAGCCTTATACAAGGCTGTTATTTTTTCGCGGCTCCAGACAGATGTTGTCTTTTGTTTTTTTGTTAAATTTGGTTCTTTGAACCTTTTGAGTTGCCGACCCCTGGTATAAACAATATATTTTGTCCCTTTAGAACAATACTTATTAGATATAAATTAATCACACAGGAATAAGAAATGTCTATGTATTTATTGTATTTTAATAGAAAATCAAAGGAGGCTATAACAGTGCATGAATACAATCCCTCTTTGCACAATGCATTTTGTGAACTTTTGAGAAATGTGCCAAAAAACAATACAGCCATTTTATAAATATAGAGCAAGGAGACAACTCATAAACACTGAATGGAATGAAGAACATAGCATTTGCACAATAAATCTATCCTCTCTTTGCTTTAGCTCAGCCTTTGTAACTAACATGCGTTTCACTATTATTGCCTTTTTTCATATTAGACTCTACATATAGCAATAAAATACTTCTCAGTTTGTTCTCTATATCCTACTTTTTTGTCATCTCTGCTCAGAAACATCACAATCAATAGTAACCTTAATTATGCTACAACATTCCAGTATACTTACAGCAGAGGGCCAGATTTGAATGTTTTTCACATGGCATTTTCAACTCACGCGAGGAGGAAATCGTTCTGACTTCCGCGTTGTGTGACGTCCCTTGCACCTCCCTAGTCCTGGACCGAGGTGGGATTTGGGCGGGCGCAGCAGTGGGGCCGTCTGACATTTTGCAACATTGACCTGAAAAAATTGCCCTGCCTTCGCTTGCTCTTCTTTTGCTGCGGCGAGTCCGAGATTGACTTTCTAATAGATGCTTGTGCTATAAGTTTCCTCTCTTGCTCCTTGATTTTCGACTGTAGGTGAATCTGGATGGCAAAACCCAGTGATTCTGGATCCACTGACGCTCCATACACCTCCCACGTCATCCCTTGCTCATCCCAAATCACATCTTGGACGTTTTTGTCTTTTTCCTTGTCGTCCTCGTCACTTTTTGCGCTCTGCCCCTTGTCCTTGCTCACCGCCTTGCTTGCCTCTTTACTTGTTGACACCTCAGACTTAATCGCATCAGCAGTTTTGGACTGGACACTGGCCTTCACTTTCTCTTGGGACGCCTCCGATTTAGATCTGGGCACTTCAGCATTCACGACTTCTTCCTTGTGCTTGCTGTGCTCGATGTTGATTTGATAAACCGGCTGGGTGTTGCATTGAGTCGCCGAACCGTTTTTGGGCTTTGCTCCGAGGTCGCCGCCTTGCTGTGGACACAACTCCGCCTCGATCGTCAGTTTATCTGAATTTGTTGCTGCGATAATTGAGCTTGTCCCCACCCCGGCATCCATGCTCGGTCTTGGGGCATAGGGAAGCAAACTCGGGCTGGTGCTGACGCCTCTAGTGCACGTGTGGGCCACTGCTTGTACCTCCATGTCATGGCGCTGAATCGGAGCCATGACCGCAGCTTCTGAGGTCATTGTGGAAGCTTCGACGTAGTGCTTTCGGTCACAATTTGCCAACGAGCCCTCGTTCACTGCTGTCTGCTTCGGTGTGATGGAAGTGTGCAAAGAGGAGGCAACTTGTGAGGCTTTAGCGGCGGGTTTGTCAGAGGAAGCCTCGAGTGGAACTGTGGTTTCACTTTTCGCTGGGAGCTGAGATTCCAGATTTTGCCTGGGCGGAGATGTGATCGAGTCGTCACGCGTCATCGCCAGATCAGTGTTCCGTGTATCTGTATTACCATTTTGACTTGAGACGTTTTTGCTCACACAATCTTGCATTTTCACCTCTTGTGTGTCTTTCGCTGTGCAGTGATTGCTGTGATTGTCTGCTTGTTGTGACGTCAGTGTCATGTTAGCGTTTGCATCCTTTCCATCACTCAACAGATGTTGGTTCGCCCTCACCACAGCCTCCTCTGAACTCCCATTTGTGGGTTTGTCAGTGCCAAGCGTGCCATCTGACTTTGTGGTACTTTCTGATGTGGTGACATTTGCAATATCCATTGAGGGGGCGGTGGTGATGGGGTCGGGACAGATTGCAGTAAGGGCAGATTCTTTGGCCCAGTTGGCGTTGGATTCTTTATTGCCCAGTGTGTCGGCCGTGGCCAGCTGAGGAACCATCTGCACTGTCACTGTCCGTTTTGGATTGGTTCCCATATTGGATTCAGTCTTTCAAAAAAGTTAATTATAGTCCAGAAATGAAAAGTGCGGTGGACTCAGATGATGATGCGTGTCCTGAAAGAAGAAAGCAGAGACATGGTTACACTTTGAAAGCGTCTGTAAAAATAATAAATAAATAATTATACAAATGTCTGTGTAGTGTGTTGCATTGACTGATGGGTGATGAGTGTATTGCCAAACTGCACAATAGCAGTATGTAATGTATTGGGCTTTTGAAATACCATCCATCCATCCATTTTCTTCCCCTTAATCCATTTCTGGGTCGGGGGTAGGCCAGAGATGCCACCCAGCACACAGAGCACCAGCCCCTCACTGATCCTCCTGCAGGTGGTGAGTCCACAGGAGCTGAGATCTTTCAGTGGGAGCTTCAGGCAAAGTGGGGTTAAGTGTCTTGCCCAAGGACACAACGACAGCAGTCATCAGTGGGAGTCGTGAAGTAGGTCTTACGGTGGGCTCGAACCCACGACCTTCAGGCCCAAAGGCCAATGCTCTACCAACTGAGCTACTGTCGCCCCTTTTTGAAATACCTTACCGTATAAAACTATCGAACATACTTTGATAAATATTCCACTGCAAGTTGGTTGATTGTTCAGAAATTAGAGATGGAAAAGAAAATTTAAATATTCAATTTAAAATATAATGTTTTGTGGGTTTATGTTGGGATAAAAAAATTGGAATTTCAAAGCAGAAAAACAAAACTGAACAGTGACAAAACAGATCTCAGAGGCTAAGTAAGTAAGTAATCTTTATTTATACAGCACCTTTCACAAAGCGCTTTCCAATAGTTGTGTAAATGATTGTCACTCAGCACCCAGAGGAAACCTACTCACAGGGAGAACATGCAAACTTGTCACAGAAAGGCCCTGTCTGGAGGTGAAATCCTGAAACAGTGTGGGGCCTTCTTAGTACTGTGATGGGAGATCAGCGGGACAGCAGAGGCTCTAAAGTCCAAACTATTTTTATAGCTGCAACACTCACTCTTGAGTTGATTTGTTTTTTTATAATTTATTTAAAAGAAAACACATTCACTAAATAGTGAGATACTAGAGAAACAGTAGCATCTTGCGAGAGGCATATGTTATTGTATGTATGTTTTTTAAAGCCATATAAACAAAATAATTTATGATTGGCTCATATCGCACTGTATTGTGACATAATAAATCATAATATGTAATGTAACACCACATACAAGGCTTTGCAACCCCCAATGCATTTCTTACCACCCCAAATTTGACAAAATTGTGAAACGTAGTGATTTTTTTCCTATCACATTACAGGCAAAATTAATCAAAATCAGTATATAATGTTATAAGGCTAGGGTATCAATAGACTTAAACATGAAGAAGGTGGGAGTGCTGCACGGTCGTGTCCCTTCAGTGCAGGGATCAAAGGCAAGATGCAAAAAACAGGTTGCGGTTTATTTTATTGTCCTTGTGGAGATATTGTTCTCTGCATGTGACCCTGCGAGCAATAAACGCTCTGGTCTCTGTGGGGAGCAGGGACCCCTCTGCAGATATTAAGATAAGATATGTTGATGCTCTTGGTTAGGACTACTGGAGTTGGAGGATTTTACCTGTGGTGCATGTTATTGGGTAGTGGAGGAAACAGGAGTACCAGGAGGAAACCCACCCAGACACAGGGAGAAACATGCAAACTCCACACAGAAAAGGCCCACAACATTTCTTTGAGTGCTTGCTTTGAGTGCCATCCAACCACCAATCAGAATAAAACTTAATGTATAATAGAAGTTATAAGTACAATCCTATGGTCAAATCTCTCATCAAAATCCAAATACTGTAACAAAAATCTTTACTGTTGCAAATAAAATTCATAATAAACATTGAGCTCCAAAATACTGCATATCCATCCATCATTTATTGATGAAATGAGTAATTAACTTGGCTTAGTAACATGAACCAATATTCTGTAGATGCCTATTTAGTACTTCACATCATGTTGATGCCGTGCCAAATGTTGACATGCAGCTGTAAGCCACAAAACACCTCAGTTGAAGTGGATGTGGTTTCATTTATCTGCATGTTACTTTCTGCTCGAGCTGCAATATAATACACACCGACTGATTTGAATCTTTTCAATTTAGTGTTAGTGGTCTTATAGCTTTTGCCCTGAATTTAAAATGTATCAACACAAGGCTTTTATTGTATTGAATATTTGTGCAGCTCTATAAATCTGAGGATTCCCAGTAGCTGATTTCACCCACCCACTAACTCATATAGGTGTAAGATTGATTGTATGCCAGTGCAACCATTTCTCATTGAGTAATTAGTGAGAACCAAACTGGAAAATAGATATTTCACTGATTCAGTATACCCCAATTTATTCATGCCCCATTGAAATGGACTACTTGTCTTTATGCAGGCATCTGGGTCAGCCCTGCACGCCAAATAACAGCGTATACACACACTCTGAAATATATACAACTTTAGCGCAGAACAAATGAATGGTGGCGAGACTTAAATCATTTACTCACGGGTAAGAAGGGAGACACCAACAATGCATAGATCCGCCTTATTGATGAGCTGTTTTACTCAACACTATTTGGATAGTTTCTCTCCTCAAGCTGTGAGAGCAACCGTGATCCAATCGCCTATGGACTATGACACACGCGTAATTATGATCTGCATTGGTTGGTATTCTCCTGAGTCCAGCACTTAAAGCTCTAAGGTGTTATTTGTTATTTACTTCTATCCACGCTCTTGCACACTTTCTGTCAAAGTCTCACGCATTGGTGAGGGGGAGAAAAATCCCTATACTGTCCGTGATGAGACCAAACGCCCCAGCATCTCTCCAACCTGCAGAGCGCACTAATGACACTGTCTGCGGAATCACCCCAATCTATGTCTGCACAAGGTTTATTTGACCTTGTAAGGCAAAATACGCAAATGCTAAGAAAAAAAACCACAGCTGAAATGCTAAGGAAACGCTTACCAAATGTGAAGACAGGACCGAGGGGCGCCTCTACTCCAGCCTGTGTCCGCGAAAATAAACGGAGCTCCACCACGAATAGGCGAAAAAAAACACGGCAAACGGCAAACCACGCCTTCTATCACGATATGGGTCTGTGTGGGTATCGATCACTCGTCACCACAGTCTATGGTTATCACTCTTTTTGAATGAGAGAGGGAAAAAGGTAAGCGCGTATTATGAGTCACCCGAACCTGTCTTCTTTTACGCGCAGGGGGAAAAGCCCGTGTATATGAATGGGGATAGGTGTAGTGAGGGAGGGAGGCTGTGTCTATAGTGCAGAGCTGAGATACAGAGAGGGAAAAAGGCTAACGAGGGTCATAGCACAACTACACATTGATTACTTGTAAATCCTGCATGTCTGATTGCTTCCTTAGGCGGCCGCTTCCGAGAAGAGGTGCGCACCTTCGTAAGTGTCGTTTAGGAGGGGATTTATGAGACCGGGAAGTATGTTGGGAGGATTTGTCTTGGGATTTGGGGTAAAAGTAACAAAGCAAATAGGGATTCCAGCATCTGACTTCGAGTGATTACATTGGGCAAAAAAAATCCCAGATTACAGTCTTAACAACTGAAATGCATGTACTGAAATACTGTTATACATTTTTCATGTAAAGGAGATCTATTATGAAGCCAACTTTTGAAAATGGTAATCATGTTACAACATTGTCCTTCACGAAAAAAAGACCTGGAGTGTTGTTTTTTTATTTTTATTTTTATTTTATTTTTTTTACGTCCATCCAGTCTAAAATCAGAAACTTCTGACATAGCTGTACCACCTCCATTCCAAACGTTTTTTGGAATTTGACTACAATTCCAGAGTGAAATTACAGGGGCAGGTGGATAGAATTTTTTTTACCCATGCGACTTTTTCATAGATAATTTCACTTTCTAAAAGAGTTGTACACAATCTCTTCTCTCATGTAAGTAGGCATTTCTGCTTGAGCTGGAAGTGTGAAATTCTTGGTGCAAACATATGTTGCTGACTGATCCTCTTTAACATCTGGCTCAGTAAATTACACTTAAGCCTCTTGCTTAATAGGTTCAAAAAATACAAACCAAAGTCTACAAATTTTATAAAGAAACCAACACTAGTCATTTATTTGGACTTTGGAATATAAATGTTTGACTATTACGTTACAATTTATCAAACTGGAAAACTGTAAAGGCATTAAATAGAGTTTAATATGTTAAATAGTTTTCTTTATCTATTCTATTAAAATTTGCTTTCGATCTAATCCGTCTATATCGTCTGTGTGGCTCCTACCAAAATACTGCAACATCCTGAGCATCACGATCAGTGCATTTGGTTGATAATGCTTTATTGGGCTGCCTTCAAATTTGACTTCAAAGTTAATAATATTGTCTATGTGTGCTGAGCAAACAACTCCAAAAGTAATCCGCACATGTAATATTTTCTGGAAACAGGTCAATAATGGGCAAAGGATTATTTTCATTATTTACTTTTTACTTGATCCAGATTATGTGTATTTTACAACTGGCCTACATTTGGACTTCCACCAGTCGCTATAAATGCAAGAGGAATATTTCTTTCAATTGACTGGAAAGCAGAGATTAGATATTGACACTTCCAGTAAAAGCAGTAAAAAAGAGGGAGAAAAGGGTTGGCCATTCAGTGCGTTTGACAACAGCATATGGTTTATCTCAAAAGAAAATAACACTGGTTTTGTTCCATGTTTCAGTTCTTGTTGCTTACCAAAGTCATACGATAAAATAAGATAATCCTTCATTTGTCCAAAAGTGGGGGAATTTCAATGTCATTGTTGCTGACTAAAAGGAGGAAATAAAAGCACTCAGGTTGCACACGTCAAACATGATCTATATCAAATAGAATAAAACATAAAATGATAAAATAAAACTCAGGAGCTGCAAGGATACATCATTTGTGGAGTTTACGATATAGTAGCATCAGGAGCTATTTACAGATGTTAATATTGTACTTAAGCTGCAGAGAACATACTGTAAGAATAAACAATAGTTCATTAATAAATTACTCTTACTGAGTTAAACTTAGGTGATCATATCTCATTTTCTAATACAGTGGTCCCTTGGGAGGGTTACATTCTAAAAATGATCCTCAATAAGATCAGTTATTGTAGTTGCAGCTGAGTTTTAAGGCTGTAAAACCCCTCACCACTTGACTGCTTAAGTGCAATTGCAAGGATGTTCGTTGTAACATTGAGGTTGTGAATAAGATGAACAGCATCAGAGACCACTTCATTTGGTTTAATGGGTATGGACCATAGACTGTGTATGGACCATGGACCCACATTGTCTTGAAATATAAAGAATGGATCTAAATGGATTTAAAGGTAAGATAAGGTATGGCCTCTATCACACACTTTGACCTATGGAGCATGTTTTGGGTTGTAGGGAAATCGGAGCAAACTCCACACAGAAAGGCCAGGGCCAACACAGGATCAAACTGATGATCTTCCTTCTGAGAAGTATGTGTGCTAATACTGTTTCACAAAGATCAATACATATAATATGGTCTATGATATGTCTAAAAAAAACAATGATTAAGAGATTCAAGCAAATATAGAGGAATCCGTCAGGAATCCTCTCTTTTTTTAATTCAAACCTGTTAATTCCTACAATTGTTATCGTCTCTGGGCTTTATTGAGTTTACTGAAGTTACACAATACGTTAATGGATCTGGAGGACATTGTTACTGCTGACACTCCACAGATGAACTACCCAGGTGCATAAATATAAGAGTAAAGAGAAACATCTCTGTTTATATATAGATGTAGAGCTGGGGGTCTGATTGGCTGAGTGGGGGTGGTCCTCTCTTTTTCACTTGTACAGGAAGTCTCACAGTCTGGAGAAGCTGATCCAAAGATCTGACAGAGGCCAAAATTATATGCACGTAAAACACCTTGATAGACCCAAACTGTTTTGAGGAAGAGGAACTAGTTTGTTGCAGGTTTTGCGGATTGAAAATTAGGTCCCCTTAATTTTTTTGTACAGTGTTGCTTCTGTCACCATCTTGTGTCTCAAATGCAAAAACGGCAGCATCAGTGAACTTCCAGCCTGCAGATGGCGCCGTAGTGTTTTCCGTGTATGTTTTATATCATCATTGCTAAGACGACATTTGAGGCCTTGTTGTTATCAAAATATGTATATAAAGCTAAGATCACAATAAAGCGGTATATGTCTGTTTTTCTGGACATAGTCTGTCCTTCGCCAGTGTCCTGTGATGCTGATTCGCGGAGCCTGCTGTTGAAGTTTGCCGTTTCCGCTCGGCCGTAAACGCAGCACGCGGACTGTTGTGTTGTCACTTGCAGATGCTAGGATGCTAACCATGGATCTATGCTAACGCTATCGTGAAGGATTTTGCAAACGCTACAATCAGCCTTGTTATAATAATTTGCAAGTTTTCGTCCAAAGGGTAAGAAATATATTACCTTCGTTCTTAACACTCACTGTATTTGTACTTATGCTGTAATCCTTTCACCTCGAATACACAATAGACACAGCTTATGTTCCTGTTGATGTGAAGACAACCTGTTGTTCCTCTTGTTTTATCCTAAAGTTGATACATAACGTCATATTTCAATGCAATCCGTTTGAAGCTTACAGCACGTCTAGCACTCTTTATTGTGTCCTTCATGTTATAAGTGATGATTTATCCCAAGTTTAGCCATAGCATAAATGTAATGCTATGCACATGGTGAAAGTAACCAGCTGCTGTTAACACACTAAGGACAGATGGACAATTACCAGCGCCACCGTACCAAGAAAATACTGATATTATTTGTATGTATTGTCTGTTATGGGCAAGGCAAGTTTATGTGTATAGCACAATTCATACACAAGGCAACTCAAAGTGCTGAACAAAATAAGAAAGCATTAAAATCATAAATAATCAGAAAACATTAAAAAGAAAGATACAAATATAAATCCCTCAGTTGTATGCACAGCTAAACAGAACTGTCTTTAACCTGGTTTTAAACATTGTCAGAGAGGAGGCCTGTCTCACACTTTCAGGAAGACTGTTCCAGATTTTAGCAGCATGAATCTGAAAAGCAGCCTCCCCATGTTTAGTTCTGACTCTGGGCACTAACAGGAGTCCAGTCCCTGTGCTCCTCAGAGTCCGGGCTGGTTCATATGGTACTAACATGTCACTAATATATTTTGGTGCGAGGCCATGGAGAGACTTGTACACACTTGTATAGAGTTACGTACTCGAGCTTGATGATTATAAAAATGTATGGTTTGTTAGTTGTCGGGTAAACACTGACCAGTGCAGCAATGCATGATGCCCAAATGACTCTTGCTCCCCAGATGCTTTTGGGATGTCTTTCATATCCTCTTTGTTTTATGCTGCAGAAAATGTTTGCCTACATCTTGCAGTACGTCTATGCGTCGTTCTTGAGGTACTGGCTGAAGTGGCTCATCAGACAAGTGACCGGGACATGTGAACTGCAAAGAATATGCTGTGGATCCAAACAAGGAGCAACAAGGACAACAAAAGCAGGTGGAGTGTGTTTGTGGATTTCAGAACGATGGAAAAGGAGGACTGTTGCCATAGTAATAGTTAATAAAAGTTGTTGTTCATTGTTGCAGAGTATTCTCTGCGATTCTCAAAGAACAAGGTAAAAGCAATAAAGAAATAACCATTGTTGTATATACAGTATGATCAATTAATTATTTATTCTAATACATTTGTGTTACAATTCGCCATTGTTTCTTTTCCAGGTCCTAAGAAATGCTTTAACAGCCACCACGGAGAACTTGCCTCAATGCGTGGATCAAATAATGCGAGAGAAAAGTATCAAACCACAGAAAGATCCCTTGTATGCTTTGTACATTTTTTTTAAAATTGTGTTTTAGATTATGCAATTTAGAAGTCCTTTTTTTCTAGGTTTAAGGACAACCTTCACAATTGTTTATCGCAGATTACTGGATACAACCAACTGTATGTAGGTGTGGAAGAGTTAAGAAAAGAAGTTTTCAGCTCTGATAACCCAGATCATGAGTCAATGCTGCTTAAGGTTGGAATTAGTTTTTTAGCAGTGTTGGGTATTACTTTGTTATAAGTAATTAGTTACTGTAATCTGATTACTTTCTTGAGTAACCTATAATTATTAGTGTAACAGAATACTTTGAAAATACTTTTGATTTCAGTTCATTACAGTTAACATCAAAATAGCTTTATATGTTTTAGTTATTGTAAATCTCTCCATTGTGAGATCAATAAAGTTTATCTTATTTTAGTTTCTTGCTTTTACGCGGTGAGCCTAAGCATAGACAGTATATAAAACATGGTATATGTTTTATATATAACATGTATGAGGTGTTGATGTTCATATAAAGTAATCAGAAATATGTAGCTAATTATATGTTCAAAGTTACTTACCCAACACTCGTCTTTAATATTTTATTATGTAGATTGTATATATATTGTAAATACAGAGTGTTATGTTTTCTAATATTCTGTTCAGCTGTGGGATCTGCTGATTCCCTCAGTCAAACTGGAGTCGAGGATCACCAAACAGTGGGGAGACATTGGATTCCAGGGAGACGACCCCAAGACCGACTTCAGAGGAATGGGTCTTCTGGGGCTCATCAACCTGGTGTGAGTGATTTCTAAGCCTTGATCTGCTGCTGTAGAAGAACTCACAAGTAAACACAATATTTTCCAACATAAATTTGAATGCTCAAATGATCCTGGATTGCTTAACAACTGCCATAGGAATGTCTGGTAGTGGTGGTTATTGCTAACCTTGCGCTCAAATTATTGTGATGTTTGTGAAAATAAACTCTGCTCTCCTGAAAGTGAGAACAGATTTCTGCAGATTTTGATTTCAGCCAAGCTAGGAAATTGCACAAATACAGCATTAATGGATAACATAAGTTTGAATAAGATGGATTCTATCAGTGGGGCCATCTCCATTCACTTTTCATGCAGGTTGTACACTCACCGGCCACTTTATTAGGTTCACCTTGCTAGTAGCCTTTTTGTCTTCAAAACTGTCTAAATCCTTTGTGGCTTAGATTCAACAAGGTACTGGATACATTCCTCTGAGAGTTTGGTCCATATTTGATAGCAACATGCAGTTTCTGCAGATTTATCGGCTGCACATCCATGATGCTGTTCCACCACATCCCAAAGTTGCTCTATTGGATTGAGATCTGGTGACTGTGGAGGCCATTTCAGTACAGTGAACTTAACACCACCAGCCTGAACCGTCGATACAAGGCAGCATGGATCCATGCTTTCATGTTGTTGACTCCAAGTTCTGACCCTACCATCCGAATGTCGCAGCTGAAATCGAGACTCATCAGAGCAACTTTTTCCAATCTTCTGTTGTCCAATTTCGGTGAGCCTGTGCGAATTGTAGCCTCAGTTTCCTGTTTTTAGTGACACCCGGTGTGGTCTTCTGCTGCTGTAGCCCATCTGCCTCAAGGTTTGACATGTGCTCTGTTCAGAGAGGCTCTTTCACAGACCTTTGTTGTAACAAGTGGTTATATGAGTTACTGTTGCCTTTCTGTCAGCTCAAACCAGTGTGGCCATTCACCTCTGACCTCTGGCATCAACAAGGCATTTTCTCCCACCGAACTGCCGCTCACTGGATATTTTCTCTTTTTCAGACCATTCTCTGTAAACCCTAGATCTGTTTGTGTGTGAAAATCTCAGTAGATCAGAAGTTTCTGAAACACTCGGACCAGCCCGTCCGGCACCAACAACCATGCCAAGTTCAAAGTCACTTAAATCTTTTCTTCACCGTTTTGATGCTCGGTTTGAACTGCAGCAGATGGTCTTGACCATGTCTACATGACTAAATGCTTGCTAAATGAGTTGCTGCCATGTGATTGGCTGAGTGGAGTTGGATAGGTGTACCTAATAAAGTTGCCGGTGAGGGTTCGTATATGTTTGGCAAAAACGTGTGCAGTGAAGCAGAGGCAAAAGACTGCATCTTTAAATACACAATAAATCATGTCCACTGTATGCAATTCATGCATTGTGTTTTTTCCCCCAGATTTTTCAGTGAGAACTACACAGAAAAAGCACGACAGGTTTTGTCACATGCAAACCATCCTAAACTTGGGTAAACTGCAGGATTATCTACCTTGTAAAACTGTAAAAATGCATTCAAGGTACTTAATGTCCATTCAACAGGTACTCCTATGCCATTGTGGGAATCAACCTGACAGAGATGGCCTACAGTCTCCTGAAAAGTGGAGACTTGAAGCCTCATTTTTATAATGCAGTTCTGACTTCCCCTGAGCGACAGCATTTCCACCAGCTTTACTGTAGGTGTATTTAATGTAACTGATTTTATACAAATATATTTGCTGTAAAAGTCTTTTTACTTTTCCAGGTTACCTGGCTTATGAGTTTGACAAGTTCTGGCTATCTGAGGAGCCAGAAAGTATCATGCTGTTCAATGAGTACAGAGAAAAATTCCATAAAAAGGTCCAGCTCCACCTGAAGGACCCCACTGTGTGCCTAACCCTGAAACAGGAAAACTGATTCAGCAAACGTGTCTGGACCCATCGCACTTGGACGCAGCAGATTGAGTGGATAGTGTGTACTATGATAATAACTGTGAAGGACTGACATTTAATTGGCTGGTGGCACCTTTTGTGCATTAGCAACTAATCTTAACGGATTGGTAGACATTTGCTATAAACACTATTTATATATTGTGTGTGTGTTTCACCCAATTAAGACTTTTCATAATGTTTTCAAGATACATAAAGTTGCTAAAACAACAAGTTTGTGCAAGCCCTCAGTCGTACAGGGATTAGTCAAAGCAAAGGAAGGTTTCTCCATCATCTGTACTTCTTACCAAGTTTTCCCGACGTTTCGTCCTCCATCCTAAGGACTTCTTCAGGGAATGAATGAAGTCCTTAGGATTGAGGACGAAACGTCGGGAAAGCTTGCTAAGAAGTACAGATGATGGGTGAGAAACCTTCCTTTGCCAAAAATGTGACCAAATTTTTTAAGTGGTTGGTGAATACATTTTTTACTAGGAATTAGTTTTTCTGTATCCATTTGCATTTTCTGAATGCCTGTAATGAGTAACTCGTCAATGGCAATAAATCATTTTTATGGCATGTTAAATGTGGAGGTGTGGTTTCTCAATTGTGGGTCCATTAAATAAACATCCATTATAAAACATCACATTTAATATGTCTAACACAAGAATGTTTTGTGTGAGGCTTAGGCACTTTATAGGCTGCCTAAAACTGCAACCCAAATGCTCATACATGCTCAAGTTGATAAATACTGTATAAAGATAGTATTTGTGACATAAAAGAACCAGATCTTGTAATCCCTTTTTAAACAAAGGACATGTGCTGCCACTGAACAGGAATACTGCTTCTATAAGAGGTCTTTCCAGTCCCTCTAGAAAACCGACTTTAGCTGGAACTCTCCATCTTCTTCTTGGAGACCATCATGAGTCGCTTGATTTGTTCAAATGACACAAACATCACAACGTTCCACGATCCGAGCCTGAGAAACGATGGAACAAACCTAAAAGGAAGAGGAGAATTGGCTACAAAAGAATAACTCCATGAACGAAGACACAGTGTGTGATAGCTTACCCTTTGTAGAAAGCAGTAGGCCCCTCTTTGGTCATCATGACCCAGGAGCAGTTAATGGCACTTTTGTACTGTCCAGGCGGTGAGTTCATGTATCTGGTTTTGACAACATCCACTGGAGAGGCTATGACCGTGGTAACAAAACCTGCTCCAAATGCTGAGACGAAGTGGCACGGAAGATTATCTGCAAGTCAGAGAAGGCTTTGCGTCATTATTATGTAAGAGCACTCAGAATTTTTGGGACATTATCAGCAGCAGAAAGGGCTAAAGGTCAGATACTATGGACACACACTGGTACCCACCCGACATGAGCTTGTGTCTGAGGATGGCCTCTTTGATCAGATCATAGGTCACCAGCTCTGTGCAGTTGACCAGTGCGTTTCTGGTGATGTTTGGAAGCGTGCCTAAAATGACATGCACACTAATAAACCTAAGCCTTGTTGTTCCTGGAATGAGATGTGTCCTCAGCAGCACCTTTCCAAAGTCCTTTCAGTCCCTCGTTCTTGAAGATGTGCCTGTAGGCCTGCATGGTCCCAGTGTAACGTCGAGCCACGCCGTCCAAATTAACCTGTGCCTGGAAGCGCACCTTCACCACATCTGTGGGCTGTGCAAAGGACACGGCCATCGCTCCTGTGGTGCAGCCCGCCAAGATGCGCACCAGCACTCCAGGATCTGAGGGTACAGTTGATGTTTCACTCATGATCACTCATTTAGATGAATGTAGCATGGCAAGAGTACTTACTTTCCTTTCCTCCAGTGTACAGATCTTTCACATTGTCATAGAGGCCTATCCTAACAGAGGCAAAGCAGAGCTGCCTCTGTAGTCCTGCCACCAGCCCGTTGTACAGGGAGCGGGGCCCCTCTGTGCGCACCATGGTGGCGATGGTCCCGAATACACCTCTGTACCTGATGTTCTGCACTGCTGTTTTCTCTCCCTGGATCTGAAGGTGAAAGAAAGACTCTTTCCATTACACACAGAAACATTATTTACTGTATGGATGTTACAGTGATTGTACTGCGTTTGATACCTGGAGCCGCACTTTGGCTGTGTCCAGGGGAAATGTGATCAGGTCTGCTATACAGGCCGCGGCCCCTGCACTGGCCATCTTCACCCCCAGAGGAGGAGGCACATCTGAAGGCTTCAGTCCCACCATTTCTTTTGAAACACATGAAGACAGTTGCACTTTACTCTACTTTTTTTTAGAGGGTTGAACTATCACTGAAACAACAACAAAGCTAACCTTGCATGCCCACTTTTTGTTACCACTGTATTATTGATTCTGTTGTTTTATGCTGTATTAGGTTTGTGCATTTGTACAGGATCAACTTGATACTGGTTGCCTCGCTTCTGTCAGTGTGCCCCAGGGCAGCTGTGGCTACATTAGTAGTTTATCACCGCAGGGTAGGGAGTGAATGAATAATGACACGAGAAGTTAAGAGTTTTTCCTTGTCGATGCAGGCGGGTCTTGTTGGACAGTTAGTGTCGAACAGAAAGGATTGGTGATGATCAGGACACTTTAGCATTCTACAACATGTATGGACATTTTCTTCTGTGTGTGCTTTATATTCTTCATGTGTTTTAACTGTTGATTCTCTGATCTGTGTTGGTGATTTCAATGGTTTTGTTAAGTCCTCTGAGATGACTTCTGTTGTGACCTAGGGCTATACAAGAATAAATTGTATTGTATTGTATTGTATTGAAGTGTGTTTGAGTGTCCAAAAAAGCATGAAATAAAACTGATGCATCATTATGATGATGATGATGATGATTGTTATTATTATTAATATGCACATGCATTGCAAAAACTCAAGAAACTATTTATTTTGAAAAAATAAAGAAAGCTGCTAACACAAAATTGGAATGCAATCATGTAATTCAAAATGTCTAAGAAGCTAAATGATAATCACAACACTGATCATTTCAAGAAATTCAAATGCAATTGAAAATGAAAACACAGAGACTAAACTTTTTGTTGGAACTTGTGTGGTGCATTATCTTTCTTCATATATTTACATGAAGCAGATTACAGTACGTACATGTCTGTAGCTCTGCAGCGGTTTGATACATAGCCACTTGTTTTTTATGAGTTTATGAAAGTAAACAGCACTTTACTTACTATAATAATGTCCTTTGATGTGGCGCCGTGAGGCCGTCAGATCATAATCCAGAGGGAAGAGAGATGATGTTCCACTCTGTATCTATATATTTACTGCAGTGTGTTTATGACCTGTACAGAGAGGCGTTACTGTGTGCTGCGGGTCCATTCAAAGTCCACTCACTGTCAGAAAGTCAATGTTCAATTCGCCCCAGCGAGCATACACTACTCAGAAAACAACTAGTCTCACTTACAGCTGCGTAAATAACCACCGCACTCACACATGCACAACTTTCAGCTCTTTCCTTGTACTCTGAAACATAAGAGGCTGAAATTGTGATGGAGAAATATCACTAAAAATCATCACTTGAGTCTACAGGTGAAACTCTGTAAAATTAGATTATTGTTCAAAAGTTTAGAAATTTTTTCAACCAAAGATATGATATAGACTCATTGCATGCAGTGACGTATGCTAAGCTTTGGTTTTTTATAAGTTTGACCATTTTAGCTTTCTTATCTTGTGAGATTTTTGGGGCTTTTTACAGCTGTGTGCCATAAATATCAATATTATAGCACATAATGGATTGATACAAGACATTGTACATCAAATTGTACTGGAACAATATCATTGCAAAAAAAAAAATACTATGCAAAGCCACCACTTGACTAAAGGCCAGGGGTGCACTCAAAGAGCCGGTGTGGCAGCAGGTTTAACTCAGCAGGAGCACAGCAAACTCCACCCATTTTCTCAACTGAGTCCTGTCTTGACCTGAGGCTTGAGATAATGGGGGGAGTCTGCTCAGCTCCTGCTTGGTTGGAATTAAAACCTGCAGCCACATTGGTCCTTTCTGGAACCAGTTAGACATCCCTGGGACAGACTGAAGCACGAGGAATAAAACCTTTCATGCTTTAAATGCATCTTCTGAATAGTTCTTTTATCTCTCCGCATGGACAATCGGGTCAGTCCCTCCATCCAACCTGGGGCAGACTAAAGAAGGCTGTAATTCTGCATGCAGCGGGTCACAGTTGCTCGTTACTTTCTCATTAAGATTATTAGATCCTTTGTTTGCCCCACAGTGGGGAAATGTCAGTGTTGCATCACAAGTTAAAGAACATTAGGAAAGAGGAGCGCACAACTCAAAATAGGGTAAGAGAATATTAATGTAGGAGACACGTTTGGGCACTGTGTGAATGAATGGATGTTTGGAGGAGTGATGTATTGTGGGCGTGCATGTATGCGTGAGTGTGGGCGTGTGCGTGAGGGCCTGCATGTGTGTGTGTGGGCGTGAATGTGTGTTTGGGCGCGGTACACGAAATTATGAATGAGCATACACCTGCGGGGGCACGGAAAGGGGAGAGAGGTCTGTTTGGGAGGCCATAATTTTTGTTGACCGCTATTATAGTTTGTTTGATTTATTTTTGCTATTTTCTCTGGCTTAAGTTTATTCACTATTTTTTTCTGTATAATCACCACGCATTTTTTGGCCTATGACCGCTGCGTTTATTATTAATTAAATCAATGTCATCGCAACTGGATCCAGCCTTCGTTTGTTTTACTAATTTAGCGCGTCATACAATTTTACCGGACCCAGCTCGCCTCTCCGCGGCTTTAGACAACAGGCAGCCGCTATATTTGTCAACAAAAAAGGCAATCCTTGAAGAGCATTAAAGCGTGTCTCCACAAACACATCGCGCATCCAAACTTCGAGCGCGAGCCCGAAGGAGCAGCTAAGTGCAACACAGCCACACAACCCATTCATTCATCAGAGCGCAGGTAAGCCTACCTGTTTCATGTTTTTGTGGATCAAAAATCCTGTGGATGTCCGCGCGCAATGTTTATTGTACGGACTTTTATGAATGAAGTGGTTTGTGAAGGACGCACATGCGCAGGAGGAGGCGCTCGTTACATGTAATGCGGAGGAATAAATACAGTTAGTGGAGTGAATATGCACTGATGTTGTCAGGAGTCAACAATGTTGAAAGGTTCAAGAAAATAAATGCAATGGTCTCATATGGTGTTTCAGTGCGGTTTGAAGTGTGGTGTGTATGCAGATAAAGTCAAACGAAATGAGTGACGTTGGTAGCGCTGTGCAAAGCTCTCATATGGAAAGGAAAAAAAGGGAAATCAAACTCACGGCCAAAGCCCTTGAAAATAAAACGGAACGGCTTCAAAATGAACGAAAACCAGCTGTCAATAAAATCAAAGCATTAATCCCACAAATTAAGGATCAAATGAAATCAAAGGAAAATGCTCTACAAATGCAAATAAACTTGGAAAATCTAAATGCACTACATGAAAAGGCCACTTCTCTGCATAATGAATTACTTCCACTGTTTCCAGAGGATGAACTGGGAAAACAAAAGGAATGGTTTACCAGTATAACAGAGATTAAAGAGACATTTATGGAAAAAGTGAACAGATGGAACAAGGAAAACTTGAACACAAGTGAATTCGAGAAGGAGCCACCACCAACAACCACCAACAGTGAAATCAATGAACAGCAACAAAACTAGAAACTTGCAATGGCTGAAGCCATTGCGATTGACTGCGGAACAGATCTAATGTGGAAATCTGCTAAAAAAAATCCTTGAAATCCTTTAAAAGGCCTTGAAACTGTTAAAATACTTGATAGATATTTGAAACTCCTGAAGTCCTTGAAATTGTTGAAACCTTTAAACTCCTGAAATCCTTGAAACTGTTGAAACATTGAAACTCCTGAAATCCTTGAAACTTTTTTTAAACCTGGAAACTGTTGAAAGTGTGGAAACTCCTGAAATCCTTGAACCTCCTGATATCCTTGAAACTGGTTAAATTCTTAAACAGTTGAAATCCTTGAAACTACTGAATGTATTGAAAGTGTCCTTGAAACTGAAAAATCCCCTCACCGCTGAAACAATTTGGTTCCTGTAACTAAGGAAACCTGGTCTGTGGTCATTATCTGGTGGTGGTCTGAGTCTTCGTTTGGGTCTTGGTCTGGTGGTATAATGCAACCTATTAGGTTGCATTATACTGGTTTACATGGAAAAATCCCTATTAAGTTGCATTATACTGGTTTACATGGAAAAATCCCTATTAAGTTGCATTATACTGGTTTACATGGAAAAATCCCTATTAGGTTGCATTATACTGGTTTACATGTACAAATCCCTATTAAGTTGCTTTATACTGGTTTACATGTAAAAACCCCTATTAGGTTACATTATAGTGGTTTACATGTAAAAATCCTTATTAAGTTGCATTATACTGGTTTACATGTAAAAACCCCTATTAAGTTCCATTATACTGGTTTACATGTAAAAACCCCTATTAAGTTCCATTATACTGGTTTACATGTAAAAACCCTATTAAGTTGCATTATACTGGTTTACATGAAAAAAACCCTATTAAGTTGCATTATACTGGTTTACATGGAAAAATCCCTATTAAGTTGCATAATACTGGTTTACATGGAAAAATCCCCATTAAGTTGCATTATACTGGTTTACATGGAAAAATCCCTATTAAGTTGCATTATACTGGTTTACATGGAAAAATCCCTATTAAGTTGCATAATACTGGTTTACATGGAAAAATCCCCATTAAGTTGCATTATACTGGTTTACATGGAAAAATCCCCATTAAGTTGCATTATACTGGTTTACATGGAAAAATCCCTATTAAGTTGCATTGTACTGGTTTACATGGAAAAAACCCTATTAAGTTGCATTATACTGGTTTACATGGAAAAAACCCTATTAAGTTGCATTATACTGGTTTACATGTAAAAACCCCTATTAAGTTGCATTATACTGGTTTACATGGAAAAATCCCCATTAAGTTGCATAATACTGGTTTACATGGAAAAATCCCCATTAAGTTGCATTATACTGGTTTACATGTAAAAAACCCTATTAAGTTGCATTATACTGGTTTACATGGAAAAATCCCTATTAAGTTGCATTGTACTGGTTTACATGGAAAAAACCCTATTAAGTTGCATTATACTGGTTTACATGGAAAAAACCCTATTAAGTTGCATTATACTGGTTTACATGGAAAAAACCCTATTAAGTTGCATTATACTGGTTTACATGTAAAAACCCCTATTAAGTTGCATTATACTGGTTTACATGGGAAAAAACCCTATTAAGTTGCATTATACTGGTTTACATGTAAAAACCCCTATTAAGTTGCATTATACTGGTTTACATGGAAAAATCCCTATTAAGTTGCATTATACTGGTTTACATGGAAAAATCCCTATTAAGTTGCATTATACTGGTTTACATGGAAAAATCCCTATTAGGTTGCATGATTACACTGAAGTCCTTGAAACTGCTGAAGTCCTTGAAACTGCTGAAGTCCTTGAAACTGCTGAAGTCCTTGAAACTGTTGAAGTCCTTGAAACTCTTGAAATCTTGAAACTGCTGAAATCCTTGAAACTGTTGAATCCTTGAAACTGTTGAATCATTGAAACTGTAGAAATGTCTGAAAGAGCTGAAGTCCTATTAAAATGCATGGGCCTATTAAAATGCATTGCAGAATTCTCAATGCAGATTTTTGTCCGATTGCGGAAAAACCGGAAATCGCTGAAGTCCCAAAAGTAATAGCAATAATCTCCCAAACATGTGGAACGTTTTGATGTATAACTTGTGGAAATTGTTGAAAATGTGAAAGCTGTGAAACGTGTCAAAAAAAATGACGGAATAAAGAAATACAAAACCAATGGTTGACTGCGGAAGGTTCCGCAGTCAATCAATGAATGTTCTCAATCTAAAACATCAGAGGGGATGAAGGATGAAGTGCATCCTAAGGATAGCATTTCCAACAGTGGAACCAAGAGGTCTCAGCGATCCTCCATCTCACGCGCATCTAGGCTGAAGCTGAGTTGGCAGCTTTAGCCGCAAGGCAAAATTTACTTGAGGAACAGCATGCAATCGAGGAGGAAGAGGAACGACTGCGAAAAAGAAAGGAAAGGTTTCAGCTTGGCCGAGAAATAGCTGAAAAAATGGCTGAGTTGAAGGTCATTAAAGCCAAAAGCTCATGTGGCAGAGCCAGTTCTAAAGCCTCAGTTTCTGACAGTATGCACTCGTACGTTGAAAAGCATACACAGCCTACAGGGCTGACTCACAGTCTTATGCAGCCAGCGCACGTTACAGCGCAGCCACTTATGCAGCCAGCGTATGTTACAGCGCAGCCACTTATGCAGCCTGCGCACGTTACAGCGCAGTCATTCACGCAGCCAGCGCACGTTACAGCGCAGCCACTTATGCAGCCAGCTAATCCCACGCTCAATGCTCGAGCTACAGAGTTTTTCCCAACATTTTCAGTTAGACCAAAAGAATACACTAAAGCAAAGTCAAACTTCATGCATACTGCCGAACCTGTAATCACAGCACTTCACCCCAGTGAGCCCCAGCACCGCTCCCAGTCCATACAAGGCTTCAATACTACATCACAGTATAACAGTGCACAATGTCAAAACAATGCAGCATCAAACAATGATGTGCTGGAAATAATGAGAAAACAAAACAAAATCACAACACTTCTCGTACAACAGCAATGCTTGTCCGCTCTACCGAAAAGAAAGATTCCACTGTTCGACGGAGATCCGCTGAAGTATCACACCTTTATCAGAGCTTTCAAAAATGGTATTGAATGCAATACAAATGAAAACAGTGATCGATTATATTTTCTTGAGCAGTACACAAAAAGACACGCAAAGGAGCTTGTGAGAAGTTGCCAGCATATCGATCCTGCCAGAGGGTACACAAGAGCAAAAGAGTTGCTTAAAGAGCATTATGGAAACGAGCAGAAGGTGGCGACTGCTTACATGGAAAGAGCTGTGTCTTGGCCACCAATTAAAAGTGAGGATGCCAAGGCATTGCAGGAGTACAGTTTGTTTCTCCGCAGCTGCTGTAATGCCATGGAAGATGTCCAGTATTTACAGGATCTTGACACACCTTCAAACATGCTCGAAATCATCAAAAGGTTGCCATACAAGATGAGAGATCGGTGGAGAGGTACTGCCTGCGACATACAGGAGAAACACCACAGGAGAGCAAAATTCATCGACATTACAAACTTTGTTGAAAGGCAGGTGAAGATTCTCACTGACCCAGTGTTTGGCAACATACAGGATGCACCTACCTTGAATAAAAGTGTGAGCAGATTTAAATCACATCCCCGCTTGGGTGTTGAGAGCACCAGCTTTGCCACCACTGTAGACACTGTGGAGAAAAAGGATTGGTCTGGAAGAAAGTTTAATGATACTCACCAAAGCATGGAGAAAACATGCCCCTTTTGGCTTTTGCAAAGGAGGACATGCACTGGAGATGTGTGCACAGTTGAAGGGAAAGCCACACAAAGAGAAGATAGGCTTCTTGAGGGAGAACGGCTTCTGTTACGGCTGTTTGTGTAAAGGACACTTCAGTAGAGAATGCCGCAAAAGGATCTCCTGTTCAAAGTGTGGTCTAAAGCATCCAACTGTATTGCACAGGGACAATGTGAGTAACACCGACCAAAGTGAGAGAAGGAACATCGCGTCTGTGGACAATACATTGATCTCAAGTGGTCTTACAGGGGCTGGAGAACAGAACTGCAAGTTGCCCATCGTGCCAGTCCAGGTTAAGTCTAGAAGAGGCAATAAGATCAGCTGCACGTATGCCTTCCTAGATCAAGGCAGTACGGCAGTATTCTGCACGGAGGACTTAATGCACAGGCTACACCTGACAGGCAGAAAGACCAGCATTCTCCTGAGAACCATGGGTCAGGAGAAGGTGGTGAGCAGTTTTATGGTGCCAGAGTTGGAAG